TACTGACTGGTTCTGACTGGTTCATGATGCGATATAAACTGAAACTACCAATAAATCAAAAAAGGAGCCGTCAAAAGCCCTGAGCAGAGGGAGGAATGCTGGAGAAATCGCATGCCCACTGTGACCTCTTTTCTACAGCGAACACACAAGCAGACGTGTCATACACTGAAAGGGAAATGTCAGCAGCCCACAACACGTGACATTTACCTCACTACTGTAACCCCATGAAGAGACACGGGAAATGAGGGTTGTCTTTCAGACGTGACACATTGTGGAGCCCAGGTCTGTGCTGCTGACTAACGGGCAGACCCCTGAGGGCCTGATCACTGCAGCACGGGCACAGATCCGCCTGCTGCACCCACTCCAATTCCAGAAACAGGGTTTAAATCCACCCAGTGTGTTGTGTACATTGTATTATGCATTAGCCTTAGTAATTTGCACTATTTGCACGAGGCACTATGTGTATCCTGTCTACAATGTCTTTGTCAGTGTCCTGTCTGTATTTGCACCGCGGACCAGGAGGAATGTAATTTCGTTCCAGTGTATACTTGTATATGGCTGGAATGACAAATAAATTTGAACCTGAACTTGATGTGATGGCTTTGAAGCCCTCTGAGAATAGGAGAGTGACTACATTTAGACGGGCTAATTATTCTCACAGGTTTTGTTAGGGAAACCATTAATCCTTCCACAGCCTAAGCCTGAAGAAGGCTTAATAATCTGATAGGCAAACAGCTTCTGCATTTAGAATCTACCATGCAATGTAAATACAAGTTAAGACAAGAAAGTAATATTCTAAAGCAGCCTAACTGACCATTTGAGAACAATAACGTTTATCAAAGGGTTCGGGAAACGTATGCTACTGTATACCTTGAAAACAACTTGGATAATAAAGGCAGTACCAAAGTACACTATGACAGCATAGGTTTTATGAAGCATAACACCTTATCTAGGAAGGTGGAGCAAAACAAATAAGTTTGCTGTAAGATTTACTGAAGAATTTAAAGATAAGCTCCATTCCATGTAAAACTAAGAACAATCTTTACTTAATCTTGTGTGTGCCAACACCGCCCTAAATGACGTTGAGAATGTAGGGCAATGGCTAATAACTCAACTTGTGGTTTTTTTTCTGTTTTTGCAAGAAACAATACATTTACAGAATATTCATTTCCAGTTTAATTACTTATCAAGACAAGAATCTGGGCAAAACGTTTCGGAACAAATTTGCCATTCTAAGTACGCAATAACCCCTCAGTTTCCTTGAATTATCTGACCTCACAGTGTCTGTTATCATGATTGCTAAATTCCTCAGAAGTAAGAAGGATATCTGGTGTACTGACACACACCTCTGCACGCTGGTACTTCACAGAGTGGGGCTATATACTGTACAACCTCACCCTCAACATCAGCAAAACCAAGGAGCTGATCGTTGATTTCAGGAAACTGCAAAACGGACATGCCCCTATCCACATCAACGGGACTGAAGTGGAAAGGGTCAGTAACTTCAAATTCCTTGGCGTCCATATCACCGAGGACCTCACATGGTCTCTCAACACCACCTGTCTGATCAAGAAAGTGCAACAGTGCCTGTACTTCCTAAGACGGTTGAAGAAGGCTAAAATATGTCCCCAGATCCTCACTAACTTTTACAGATGCACTACAGAAAGCACACTGACAGGCTGCATCACAGTGTGGTATGGCAACTGCAGTACAGATGACCGCAAAGCCCTACAGCGGGTGGTGAAAACTGCCCAGTCCATCACTGGGGTTGCCCTCCCATCCTTACAGGATATTTATGACAGACGGAGTTTGAGGAAAGCCCTAAGACCCCACAAACCCCAGCTACAGACTGTATGACCCTCTACCATCTGGAAAATGGTACCAGAGCATTCGGGCCCGGACTTCCAGACTCAGAGACAGTTTTTACCCTCGCAATATCAAACTACTAAACTCCCTGCCTCTCTCACCTATGATCTGAACCTCACAGTGCCTTCTTTCTTACCAAAATCTCAAACACACATTGAAATCTACCACTACCTCACGTCAATAAGTTCACTCCCCATAATTTTCTATCCTTTATTTCATTCTGTTAATGTATGTTATTGCACATCTGATGTTGTTTTGCACATTACCTGATACCTTTTGTTGTTTTGCATACTGCCT